CTAGACCACGAGAGGCTCTCCTATCTGCTCTATCAGATGTTGTGCGGAATAAAACATCTCCATGCTGCGGGCATCATTCACAGGGTAAGCATCAGCTGGCCATGAACACACACACTAATGCCAGGGAGTGTTCTGACCTGTTAAACCTGCTGTGATACTTGACGCTGAGGTGTTAGGGCACACGGTCATCCGGCACGCCTTTAGGTGGTGAATGCAGTCTTTCAATACAGTTTTAATGACTAAACCCCAACAGAAATCGGATTACTTTATAATTATATTGTTATTATAGAGCATATGTTGTTATAGCTACCAAACGACAGAGCAAACATTCCTAATAAAACATCTTTGAACAAAATCCTGATTTTCTATCCGTTCTTGTAAGCTGATACAGACTTCTCACCTCCTCTGACGATGGAAGGTGAATCATTTTCTCATATGGATCAGTGAGAAGCAGGTGTGAAATGAATGGATGCGCTGTGATTTACAAGAGCAACGCATCAGTGCTGCAAGAAACATGCAGCCAAGTGTGCTTGAAATTGTGGCACCGATACCTGACAATTGCCGCTTACTGACACGAGTATTGATCAAACATGGTTCAAGAAAGAAGCATTATTTTCTCCTTAGCATGAAACATCAGCCTGTTGCCATGAGATTTATATGAAAGTGAGGAAAGCATCTCAGTAAACACGTCTGCCTTTTGTTGAAACGGAGAAGGAGGTTCTAAGCCTTTTTGCTTGTTTGCTCCTCTGTAGGACCTCAAGCCCAGTAATATTGTCGTCAAGTCAGACTGCACACTAAAGATTTTAGACTTCGGCTTGGCTCGGACAGCTGCGACGGGCCTCCTGATGACACCGTATGTAGTTACACGGTACTACAGAGCACCAGAGGTTATCCTAGGCATGGGCTACCAAGCCAATGGTGGGTGATTTCCTTTGTGCTGTATCTTATTAGTCTACACCGTCAGCCTTTTTAGATTTTCAGTGTAAAAAAATGAACTTCCGTTGCACCATAGTATGAGGCTTTAATTGATATTCAGAGATAAATCTTGCTTTAAGCTGCATGCTTCTTTACACGAAGGGAAATTGCTTGCTAACTCACCTCTTATATATAACTAACCTGTTGCTGTGCATTCTCCTTACCTTTTATTGGCTTTGTTCAGTGGACATATGGTCTGTGGGCTGCATACTAGCGGAAATGGTTCGGCATAAAATCCTTTTCCCAGGAAGGGACTGTATCCTTGTGTCTTTTAAATTCTTCCTCACCGTTATTTTTAACAGTCTTTTATAAAGTTTCTGTCAGATTTTTCTCTGTTTCATCATCACGTCATTAACTGTCTGTTCAACAATGCTTTCTCCCACTCGAGCTCACCCACATCCGGCTGTCGCGGCTTCACTTCTGTTCTAATTGCCGCTCCTCTTCTGTTCCGTTTTACATTCTTCTCACTTTGTTTTATTTTTGTTCATTTGTGTCCTTTTTTCCCCTTCTCTTCACCATTTTTGTTTGCATGTCCACCTCCCTGCCATCTAAATGTTCACTTCCAGTGGATGTATGGTCAGTGGGATGCATTGTGGCTGAGATGATCAGGGGAAGTGTGTTGTTCCCTGGCACTGATCGTATCCTTCCCCATCATTGATTTATCACTGTGTCATCACTTCATCTAGTGTGAAGAGATCCACCACCATCCCGAGAGTTTTTCACTCCGCCATTCCACCAACATTACCTCTGTCATTCCTTTGCTGCTTCCACATATCGAGATAAAATGCAGGCAAATCTAGATAATAAATGGTGGTAGCCGCCGAGAGAGTACACACTATAGTTATGTATTGGCTGAATAGGAAAGAAGTGAATAGCCATGCCACCATAGATCCTGTGTGCAGATATGTGAGTAGAGCTGTTAGTGTTTGCACCTCAAAGAAAGCTAAATGTCATGTTGCCCTTATGGTCTTTTGGAGCGTATGTATGTGGCCTTTTCCCTTAACATTTACACTTCAGACATCGACCAGTGGAACAAGGTAATTGAGCAGCTAGGCACTCCATCTCAGGACTTTCTAATGAAGCTGAACCATTCAGTAAGAACGTACGTAGAAAACAGGCCCCGCTATGCTGGATACAGCTTTGAGAAACTCTTCCCAGATGTTCTCTTCCCTGCCGACTCTGATCACAACAAACTGAAAGGTGGTGTTTCTTGTCATGACTTAAACAACCAATAAATGATTCATCAAATGACATCCTTGTGATCAATAGCATGGGATCTTAATTGCCATCATTTTTTTTTTGTTAATCCCCCACAGCAAGCCAAGCTAGAGATCTCTTATCCAAGATGTTAGTAATTGACGCCTCCAAGCGTATTTCGGTAGACGAGGCCCTGCAGCACCCCTATATTAACGTTTGGTATGATCCAGCTGAAGTGGAAGCGGTAAGTGGGTCGCTGATACTGCGTGATTCTTGAATGTGTTACATGAGATTTTAATCACATCACTTTCAGTGGAAACTTGGCATCACTCTTCTACCACCAATATGCCATTTAAACCATTTTTTCGTTCTCAGCCCCCACCAAAAATCCCGGACAAACAGCTGGATGAAAGGGAGCACACCGTGGAAGAGTGGAAAGGTTAGACAGCCTCCTGTGACTGTAAATGTTTGACTCTTAATTTATTATTTACCTGCCAGACAGAAGCCACACAGAAGTGAACCAGAAAGCTATGATGTTTGAAAGTGATACTTAGTATGATGTGCACGCTGTGGCAAAGTACCAGGTGGTCAGAGTTTGTGATATGGATGTTATGAATGGTGATGAAGTGACCTAATCAATTTCTATTAAAATAAAGCACAAAAAAACATGTCCAAGGAGATCCAGTAGAGCAGGATTGACTGTATAAATGCAAAGAAACATCAGATGAAGCTCTGCATCTTTGCCATGGCTGCCAGATGGTGTATTTAGTGACTTTAGACACCTTTTTAAAGCCTCTCAGTTAGTGTTTTCCACTGTGGGGAACCTGACTCTATTGGCCATGAGAGGACTTAAGATTGTGAGTAAATATCACTTTCAGTTATGTAGCAGGATGAGCTCATCCTTATCCCTGCCAGGTGATAATGACCCCTCAATCATTTTTAGAAGGGTCACACCAGCACAGCCAGTCCAAATTAGTAACATGTTGCTATTTGGACCGTACAGTATGCAGTACACTCCAGCTATACGGGAAAGCATATGATGATTCCTCTCTCCCTCCCACCAGATTGAATGAAAACGAATTTCCTTTTTTTTTGCAGAGCTGATTTATAAGGAAGTGAGTGAATGGGAGGAATGGAAAAGGAACGGAGTTATAAGAGGCCAGCCGTCTCCTTTAGGTGAGTGATCTTGAGAACTTAGGGAGATAAGAAGGTGGAAAGGATTCATCTGCAATATTTTTTTTCACATAATGTTTGTTTATCAGATAACAAGACAAGTTGTAGTTTCATAAGATTCAGACACCCACTCTCTGTGCATGACTGAGTAATGCACAAATGGTTTATTAGTAAAGCCAGGGAGACATCAAGATGGACTGCACTGATATATCTTGGCTTTCTAGTCTTACTGACCTCTTAGAGGGCTATACAGTACGAGCTGAAGAGAGTGGGATGACCCACTTAATCTCCCGAGCCAAAGTAAATGATGCACATCCTGCTTGCCCAGTCCCATCCTAATATAAATCATTTGTAGCAGAAAGTAGCTTATTTTCTTGTAAAACACCAGAAAATATCACTAACCTGTGAATTTTTGACGAAACGTAGGCGTTGATGTGTGTTTTTCGCAGCACAGGTGCAGCAGTGATCGACAGCCCTCCTCAGCCCACATCTTCCTCTTCCTCTTCGGCCAATGACATCTCGTCCATGTCCACAGAGCCCACTGACCCAAGCAGTGACCCCACCATGACCTCGGAAACAGACAGCAGCTTAGACGGTCACACCTCTTTGGGCGCGCTGGCCTGCTGCAGATAACGTTAGACACGCAGTGCACATACACACGAACAACGTGGAAATGTCCTTTCTCATCAGCTTGTGTGATGGGAGAGAGTTTATAGGCCAATGAAACTTGTCATGTTAGTTTGTAGAGCCGTGCTTTTTAATGTACAGATTGTTCCCCCCCCCATATAAAGCTGTAAATGACTGTGGTTTGCAATTGTATCATTATTACTGTATTTTTGCTGCAGAGAGTTTTGATGTGAAACTGTGATGTATGTTATGAAAGAGACGGATCTGATTTTTTTTTCTTTTTTTAGCTAGTACTACAAATTCAGATGCCATACCGTTAGCACTACAATTATGTTGAGTATATTTTTGTATAGTTTTTTCTTTTTGGGTGGGGGGTGGGTTGGGCGGGGCATTTGAATGAACACTAATTCTGTCTAACAGTAAACTATAGCACACTTGATCTTGGATCTTAATGCAAACCGATGATTTTATTTTGATATTGTTCCTCATCTTGTAGAAAGTGCCCCTTGCTGCATCCAAGTTAGCATATTTTTAGCAAACAGTCTAACAGTCAATGCCCTGACACTGTTTCCTTTTTTTGTTACTATAGCGTACTGTAAACTGATTGTATTCTGACTAGTTCTTTTACTTAGATGTAATTTGTAGTTGACGGTCTGTTGGATGAGCAAGAGCTGGATGAAAAGAGAGCAAGTAGAAATGTAGAATGAGTCGATGATTACTGTGAGCGCTGTAACAACCCTACTGGCTAGATTGAGTGCTGTTTTGGGGACATCACCAGACACCAAGTCTAAATTAGTCACTTTATCCTACTGTCTGATATTATCTACAGCTGTCTGATATTTAAGATATTTAATTTAAGTGCCCTTACTCAATTCCATGATTTTTAGTTCTCTTCCGTCGCCGATGCTCCTCTCTTCTGTGGTGCATCTTTCTGAGTTCTACCTCACACATGCACTCATTCAAACATGTTTGTGAAGAAACAGTATCTTGGCACACATCATTTTGAAAGAAATGCAAAAAAGTATATATTTTTTTCTGTATTGTTTTCTGTATTTATTTATTTATTTGTTTATTTCAAGCTAGGATGCATTGTATGTAATGTACATTTAATCCAGAAGCACTATTTATATGCATTTTGTTTTCTGTGCAGTATAGTTCATGGATTAGTAAAGTTAGTGACAGATCTGTACATTTTACTGTAGATTGCACTGTATTTATGCTTTCAGAGAGTCGGGAAACAGACATTTGCTTTTGCCAGGATAACTTTTTGTAAGGCTCAAATTCCCAAAATGTCCTTTTTGCCTGTTTTTTTTTTTTTCATAGTAGGGCACTCCAGGCAGTAACCCCTAGCATCAGCTCCCAAAATGCACTTTGGGGAATGCGACGCTGTCCTGACCCTTTCTTGGCCATAATTCAATTTTTTATTTTTTTTTTTATTTTTGCTCCTCCTTCATTGTCCTTAGAAATAAAACCAATAGAAGAGACTAAGCAGGATTTTGCCTCTGAGTAAATCTGATATTAGTGCAGGTACATGTGGGGAAAAAAGAGCCATTCAGCACTACTGGTACAATGCATTCTTCTGATTGGCCAAACACTGTCAGCAACGAGTCTTTTGGGAAGGTCACTTGCCTCACTAACAGACCAAATATATACATCAGAAAATGGAAACTGTCAACCTTCAACTCCTGCAAATAAAGAGTTGAATTTTAACGTCTGACATTATTCTTTCTTTTACTGAAAGCTTACATTTCTTTCTAGAATATCAGCATCAACAATAACGTATCTATGTATTATGTACCTCATAATTTTTAGTAAGGCCTTTTCTGGTTTCTTACAAGGAAATTTCAATTGCTAATTAAATGACCTATGGTGTATAACAGCAAGGAATGACAAATAAGAGGTGCTTGGTCCAGAGGAGTTCTTGTTTGGCACCGGCACTGGTCAGTGTAGGCACAAGAGAGCTGTACTAAAAGATGGCAATTAGTACTGCGCTAGAGGTATTTGGTCTTCAAAGCTTTGGGGCTGGTTGGGCGTCCCAGTAACTGAGCTCCTCCTCCACTGATGGACCAGATGAAGGCAGGCTGGTCTGGTCTATTTGGTCCGTGTTGCTCCTGTAGTTAGATCTCCGAGGGTTTTGAAGAATTCCTCCATCTCTTGCTGAAGGAGAATGTTGCGATTTTCTGCATCTTGATGTGCCCGCTCCGAGTTCCTGAGTCGGATCTCCAGCATGTGAAACTTCTTCTTCTCCTGGTCTAGCTCCTCCTCGAGGCGGTTTATCTGGGACTGGTAGTTGGAACAGGACTCTTCCAACCTCAAATGAAATAAATATAATTAATGAAAAATATTACATGTATGAATAATAATGAATAAATAAATAATACATTTTGATTTTGAATGGCTATTATAAACAGAATGGCAAATGACTCATTCGTACTTGCGGATACGGACTTCATAGCTTGCCCTCTGTTTCTTCAGTTCCTGCTTGAGCTGGGCCACCTTGCTTGTGGCATCTTCATTTGTTTCTGCAAGATCATCATCTTCATTGCAGCTTGGACTGTGATCCAAAGTATTTGCACAGTCCTTCAACTGTGTGGGCCTCTCTTGACTCGGTTCTAATTTTGTTGCTTTATCGCTCCCTTCTGGCTCAGACAATGAAATTTCGTAAGACGTCCAGATGGACGAAGTGTCAGCAGGTAGACTTAGACTGGAGGGGGCCACGTTGTCATAAGCAGACAGTCTGTGGGATTGGTGGAGAGCTCTGTGAGACAAGGATGTTCGAGAAGAGTCTTCATCAGAGTCTCTGTGAGAGTCTTTAAGAGTAGTTTCTTTAAGGGAGAGGGTTGAATCCTTTAGCGATAGAGTTGAGTCTTTTAGTCTCTCCCCAGATGAGGTGGTACGTCTGTGGGCTCGGAGGGATGACAGACCATTCATTAACCAGTTGCTCCCCCCGGCAGCCGACACGTCCCCTGCAGATCCCCCTATTTTCCCTCTTGGCCCACCTGAGGTTGCACTGCCCTTGAAGGTGGATCTCCAGGAAGGCAATGCTTTAGCTTGTTTGCTAGGGCTAACAGCTGCATCGCTTCCAACTTTTCCTTCAGTCTTGATGTCTTCCTCTGTCTTGCTTTTGCTCTTCCCTTCAGTCTGACTTTCCTCACCCTTGTCCAGTGTAACAGGGCTCACTGCTGTTACCTTAATGTCTGTAGAAGAAGTGGAAGGTTGGGCTTTTTCATTAGGCATTTTGGAGCTTGTCCCTGAGGGATGTGGGTGGTCAGGGTCTTCTTGTGAAAGCCATTCCACCTTGCACCTTTGGCTCTCCTGGCGCTGTATGGGAACCTTAATCTCTGTTTCTGGCTCCTCACGTTGGTAAAGTCGTGAGTGTTCACTAATCAGCACAGTCATTAGGTGCTGCACCTGCGTACTTCCTGTTTAGAATGCCAAACAAAAATACAACAAATTTCTCAAGTTATCTTGAAACTTTGTACACACTGATTGAAATGCAAGCTTTTGTTCACAAATTTGCATTAAATTAGCAAAGATCGATGTGCTCTCTAACCCTCCATCATGGTGACTGGATCCTCCACTCTGGGCCGAAGGATATTAGGTCCAAACACAGTGGCCAGGTTCTGAACACTCATCTTATTCTCATTGGAGTGAGACTGCACCTCATCCAGAAACCTGAACAGACACAACCAAAAGCAAAACTTATTTTCATATAATCATAAGTGCTAAGCTTTGCTAAAGCTGGCTTTAAAAAATAATCATGATCGAGAGGTCTCATTGTGACTGGTGCGTGGGATTTTTTCCATAATGTAAGGAGTTAGAGAAGATATGCAATTATGCACAGTGATGTCACTTCCCCTGATGAAGACAATGTGGGTGTAATGAATGTCTCTGGTTTGATAGGCTGACAAATCATCAGTTGTGAAGCCGTGAAGGCAGAATAATGAGTCCCATCACAATGACATCAGCACTGATATATATATAGGTGACAAGATACAGTTTACGTACTTGCAGATGTACTCAAGGAGGTTGTAGTTGACCTGAGGAAGTGATTTCACCTGTTTGCCGAGCTCTGTAATACCCTTGGAAAAAAGTAGATGTTTATTGCCAAGAACAGATTTTGAAATGTACCAGTAAAGTCTTAAGTAGACAATTCAATACCATTTCTTTATCCTTGGTAAGAAGCTGTGCGCAAGAGAGAAACTGTGTGTATTTGGAGAATGGGATTATAGGCTCTGGCAGCTCTCGTATGTACAGCTTTAACAGTGATGCCACTGTGTGGACGTCTGTGGAACTGAAAGAGAAAAGGACTGCACAATATAGAGTACTATTCCATACAGATAATGGCTTAGCATACTGTTGTGGATAAAATTCCCCCTCCCACTGCCTCACCTGTCAAACACTGGCTTCTCACCGCGGTCAAAGGCATCCTGCAGTTCTCTAACATGATTGGTCTGTCCGGGGGCCCTGAAAAGGCCCTCCTCCTTCAGTCCATTTTCACGGATGAAGCATACACACTGCTCAACCAGCACAGGGACTAGTCTCTGAGGGCCACATTGGGATTCATACAACATTGTCTCCTCTAGGTGCTGCCCAAAGACACCTTCAGTCACAAAACCAAGAAATTCATGTGACTAATAGCTCAAAATTTTTCTTATGCAAACCCCGTATCCCTTTTTTAAGGCATGCAGACCCTTCTGTGTTCATGTGTGTCTATACAAGGACATTTTAAAGACTCAAACCTCCACCAAGTGGAGCCCATATAGCTCTACGTATGGCTCTGACCCATTCTTCCATGTCGCTCTGGGAGCTGGCCATCAGCAGGAATGATTCATGGCTTATACCAGTTCGATCCTTTTCTCCAGCCCCTGCTGAAAAGAGAGCCATGCTTCAATTTTGTCTCGGTCCCTATGGAATAATGACTAGCACATTTCAAATTCACTATTAATCATATGGAATCAAACACAAAACAGATAGCACCTCTGCAAATTAGATTGCAAGTGACTTTGCATAATTACTTTGTTTACAGATCTCATTTGCAAACAATCTCCACCAGCTGCTAATATCAATATCAGTATTCTCAATAACCTCATTAGCTCAAGCGCCCCTGTAAAGTACAAAGACACAATCATGCAGCTCTGCCTTTTCTTCCTCTGGGTGAACACAGCTTGATGCCACCCGGGATGACATTTCAGTTTGACATTTAGTTCATTTCAGCACAGCTTTGATTACCCTATGTGGAATTCTCTCCCGTCGTACCCCTTTGCCTTTGAAGAGGTGGAAATACTCAGCAGAGATAAAAGCATAAAACTTAACTCACATATTTTAGAAAAAGCAATACAAAACACAGGATTTGAAAAGTGGGTTTAGCAAGGATTGCACATGGCTCATTGTGGAGAATACATATTAGTACCCGCATTCATTGCTAAGTCCTGCACTGTGGTACATAGTGTGTTGTGTGTGAGAGACAAACAACCCAGAAAGAGAAGGCTTCCCATGGGACACCAGCAACTGCACCATGCTTTTCACTCTTTTCTCTCTCTGTCCTGGACCTTTCCTCACATGTGTTTTCACACTGTTTTTTTTTTTTTTTCAACTAGACAGTCTTTTCCTACAAGTTCACATGAGACTGAGGGCAGTGTATTTGCATATAATAAACCATTTATTACAAACTCTACATATTTATTGCCAGCCATTTTCCTAAAACAAATGTGTTTTATATATTTCTGGAACAGCTTTCTAAATTGAATGTATGAGGAAAAAAAATCCACTTATATTCTAATGGAAATTTGATATTCATGCTTCTGTAAAAAGAAATGAAACAGCTGATTTTATGTAAGGTGGTAAATAAATAAAAGTAAAGTACTCCCCAAAAAAATTAAAGTACTTTTGGATATTAATATTCAAATCCATCGAGCAGCAAGAAGGTGTTCATGGTAAAAAGAAAGTACACCCCCTTTTAAATTGGGATTTAATGTATCTAGATATGATAAAAAATAATCTGCACGTCTTAAAATTATGTAACTACAACCTCAGATGAACTACAAAACTGTGTTGTTATTTATTTAACACGTGCTAAGCCATAATGCAGAGGCAGTGTGTCAAAAACTAAGTGCACCCTTACTACTTTGATAGGAATTAAGGAGGTAAGTAAGAGCCAGGTACTGCTGATCAAATGTATTTAATTTCCTGATCATCAGACAGTGATCATCTAGAAAGTAGATGTTTGGCAGTTTGCTTCTGTGGAGGATTCAGATATTAACCAACACAATGCCTAGGAGGAAATATGTCACTAATGATCTTAGAGATGCAATTGTTGATTTCCAAACAATTTGAAGTCTATCATTTTACAGTTAGAAAGATTATTCCGAAGGGGAAACGTTTAAGACCTTTGCCAGCCTTCCCCAGAAGTCGAAGTCCCAGTAAATTCACCCAATGGTCGGACCATGAAATACTCAGAGAAACTGAAAACAAACAAACAAAAAAACTTAAGAGATAAGACTCTACAGGCCTCAGTTAGCATGTTAAAAGTTAAAGTTCATGACAGTAGAATGACCTGTCCGAACAGTTGCCAATAGAAAGCATCTTATTTCCAAAAAGAGCATTGCAGCTTGGCTTAGGACGGTTAAAAACCTTCTTTGGACAGACAAAATCAAACACAGCATTTAAGCACAAACTGCCAAGCCCAGTGGTGGATTGTGATTTGGGCTTGTTTTGCAGCCAAAGGACCTGAGGTCAAATGTGAGGTCATCAATCTGAAAGATAAAGCTTAGATAAAGCAGCAAATCTACAAGAAAATGGTTGAAAATAAAAAGAATCAAAGTGTGAAATGTCCCAGTCAAGGTCGAGACCTCAACCACGAAATACTGTGGAGGGATCTTAAGCATGCTGTGGACAAATGAATGCCCACAAACCTCGATGAGCTGAAGCAATGTTGTAAAGAAGAGTGGGACACAATTCTTCGACAATAATTTAGGACACTGATAAAATCATACAAGAAATAATAACGTGAAGTTATTATTGCTAAAAGTGGTTTTACGAGATCATGTCAATGTGAATCACATAGTTTTTATACACTGCTTTGGCATTTTGGATTAATTTTGGTTAAATAAATAATCATGTAATATGTATGTGTTGTTGTTGTTCACTTCAGGTTGTATTTAAATAGTTTTAGACCTCGTTAAGGATCAGATCATTATTATTTTTATCACATCGTGATATATGAAGCCTTAGAATTAGTAAAAACTGTAATATCTACATAGAGTACAGTGGCTCAAACATACACCTAGTGAATGCATTTAGCACTATCAGTATCAAAAGTAAAAGTGCTCACTGTGTACAAAAATGGCCCCAGTCTGGGCTACATTATATTCTAATTACATTAATTATTAATGCATGCATTACTGGAGGATTTTGCTTTTACGTTTAGTTGCAGTGGGGCGCATTTATTTACAGCTGGGTACTTTTATCTGTTAGAATTCATTGCACTTTAAGCTCGCTGTAAGCATGATTTATGTATATCTATATATAGTGACATTTTGAACAATGACATCAGGGAGGCATCTTAATATCCTAAAATCGTCCTTCACTGTGACCATCTAACACTACCAGATGGTACAAGAGATACTTGGATCAGCACAGGTTAAACAGAGGTTTGCTGCATGTATAGTCTGATCACAATCACAGCAACACAGAGAAAAGTACCGCTAGGTAAAACATAAAGTTTGACCTAAAAATCTAAAGGGAGCCAAGTGTGAAGTTTTCTATTTGGCACTCGGTGCTAAACAGATTGTTCAGCATCTCTTGAACAAGGCTTATTTACTTACTTGTTTCCTTATATAACAGAACTGTCACTGTGCCAACTCACCTGGAACAATTTCAAAAAGGTGGCGGCCAGGCTCGTCCTGATTGGCAGGCACCTCATTGACCTGACTACCCTGAAGAGGAATACAACCCTGCCGGAGAAAGGCGAGGAAAGTGTGAGATATCAGAGGTTCTGGACAAGGGCATGTAGTGAATGTTAAATATTATGGAGCGCTGAGTACACGGGACTCTGGGCAATTGTCCAACAGAGGGAGGCAATGATGATGGAGGGAGGAATGACTCAGGGAAACATCTCTTCATCTACTTATCCTACTGGTGCTTCCTGATGTACTAGCATTTTTGATCCTTTCAGCACAGATAGGGTCAAAGGTCAAAAACTAAGTGCTTCAGACACAACAACAGGGTAGGTAGTTACCACATAATCAGTGTATGTGTCAGGGCAGTAACAACACACTATGGATTTAATGGAGACTGTGGGGAGGTCTTAATGGAGCTGATTTTCTGTGTGAAAGATAATGATATTTAGTCAGCCATAGCGCGACACCAAGTATTTCATTTAGCAAGCAGTTTAAAAAAAACAACACGGTCACTTTTATTTCACTTGGCTATTTAAGAGAATGGAAAACACATTTGGTTTTATTTTAGTTGAAAAACACAGTCGAGTGATTAGTTTTGGGTTCTAAATACTAATCGGATCAGTTCAAGAAGTTGGCTCAGACGTTTCAGGGGGAATGCGATGGAATATAACAGAGCAGCCTTGCAACAGGTGACATGATGTCAGTGCCTCATATGTGCTATTTTGCAATACCTGTGCTTTGCTTTCATCCTGATCCTTGTAGAAATACAGAGCTTCGGTCCTCAGGACAAACCAGCGCAGCTGCCAGTTTTTCATGATACTCCGCTGTCTCTTGAGCCAGCCCGCCTTCAGCGCTTTCTCATGATCCAGAGGAGAACAGGGCCTGGAAACCCTTGTCAACTCTCCGAGAACCATGCTTTTGGACCGCGCTGCATGGGTACACACATTGAGATCAGAAAAAGAGTGACAGAGACAGTATTCCACAAAGACACGGGATAAGTAATTTTCTAAATCTTTCTTTGTAGTCTCCCTCAGGTACCGCTAAGCCCACAGCATGGCCCATGCATCAAGATTTCATCTGAATTCAGCCTACAAAGGGAATGCCTCCATTTCACTGCAAAGCCATCTTGTTTTCAGAAACCCGTCTATTTCTGTACATGTTTTAATTTGTTTCAGATATTAACAGGGGCATTCATTATTTCCAGTCTCATTGCTATACATAGACATGTTTTGCTTTGGATCAGACTGTGCTTTGACTGCTACAGCCGGAATTAAAATATGGATTATATATTAGCATCTGTATGCCAAAGGAATGGAGCAAAAACTGTGACAGTAGAGCGATCCCTGGGGAGTCAACCAGCAAGAGAAAAGAGAGAGATAAACACAAGGCACAGGCAGAGGGGAGAAGAGAGAAATCAATGGCATCTTTTTTCCTTGTTAATTGCATTTTGCTTTCTGCTGAGGACAGCAGGGAAGGTATCTTTAAGGGCCTGGACAGAGATCTCTCTTTCCTTTCCCTCTCCTGTTTCTTCTCTTCATCTCTCTCTTCCTCTCCCTCCCTCCCTCTTTCTCTCTCTCTGTTATCAGCTCTGTGTCTGGACTCCTCATTTCTATTCCTCCCCTTGCTGGACATCCTTCCTTTGCAGAGTCATGATTGCCGAGAAGGAAGAAGAATGACTGTGTGAAGCTGTCATTTCCAAAATGACAGCTGAAGCAGGCTCATCAAGGTTTATAAATACAGCAGATATAATGTAACCGTGTCTTATACATCTATATAAAAGCAAAACAAAACCTCAAGAAGGAATGGATTTTTATTATTCTGCCAACTATTAGTTAACAAGGATCATATTGCTTACTTCTCACCTAACCTATAACACAATCACTAATGAGCTATTTTTATAAGCTCACTGGAAATAACCAGTGATGGAAGAAGTTTTCAGGTCTGTTAGTTAACATAGCAACACCTGAATATTTTGAGATTAATGATTAACACAGTAAAAATAGAAAGTAAAGCTTAAAAATTGTATTACTGAAGTAAAGTACAGCATCCTACCCAGTATTTGAGTGAATGTAAGCCTTGAACAGAACTATAGTCATACGTTCTGGTGCAAACATGACAGCTACATCCGCCCACTGTAGTATCAAAAGTAAAAGGGCTCACGCTGGTTAAGATTATTAATGGTGCATTACTGTAGCGTTTTGCTGTTTGGTTTCATGTTTGGTTGCAGTGAAGCTGACTGAAACTATTTTATTCACCGCTGAGTAGTTTACAATTTAAGCCGATTGTAAGTGTTGTAAATGTATATATAAACAGTTTAATCTAAAGTAACAAGGACTCGCTGTGGTGGTAGCGACAGTAGTTTGAATATTTGTATATATTTGAATATATTCTATGAGGTTTTACCTTGTGGATAGCTGCTCCAACCTTTAAATGATTGAAATGTAAATTATTTATGTATTATTGAAATAATTCAGTTATTAATATAAAATGTATTATATGTCATTACCATTTGAATGAGATAAGGGTGCAATAATACATTTATTAGTGATGATGATAAACACAGCTCAGTTCACAATGGTCTTCCTCTCAATTTTGAATCTATGGTATCTCAAAAGGACCACATAATATTTACTAAAGCCCTTATGTTATCCACTCAAATGTTTCAGTAATCATCCAACTATACAGATAATAGAGGAACTTCATCCACATCATTCACAGTTTTGTAAATGTCTTCCAGTATAACAGAGTAGGATCCAGACCCAGCTCTGAGATGCTGTTTGAATTTGCCCTAAAAGATGCTGCATAAAAGGGTCAGTGGAGAGCAGAGCTGGGAATCTAATCAAAGGAGGATACCATTACAGCAAATGAGAGATGGCAAGCGCACAAGACATGGCAAGCAACTACAGCTACTGCACTCTCTGACTGTATCCGTGAAGGAGAAAGCGGAGGCACTTCTCCACCCCATCATCTTTTATGATCCGATTTTTACGGCTGGGCTAGAACAAGTGATCAGCTGCCAGGAGAGAAACGAAGGAACATCTTCACCTAAAGACACAGAAATATGAGGCTTCACAAAGAAGATGTATCGGAACAGCAACTACAATAATAATCATTTTTTTCTCAAATTAAGGTGGCAGCTGTCACAACTGCCCGTGGCACCTGCAACAGTGTGTCAAACGGTGTGTTATCTAGCAACCACTTGCTATGAAGAGCACAGGAAGTATTTATACACTGCATCATGATGATCTCGGTGGCAGGAGCTGTTCCTCTGATTTATAGCTTCCATATTAATCTTTACAATATCATGTGAGAGGAACATATATTTGGTGTCAACTTCTGTGGTCACAAATGGATTTTACCCAGCATTAGAGGAACTATGTTTGAGAGTCAGCTGTTGGGATTTACAGGGGCAGAGAGTCACGCATTCCTCCCAATTGGATCTCTGTCACCTGCCAAAAACCCACAGCCGAATAGCTGGGGAAACCTTGAACAGAGATACAGTCATGCGTTCAGGTGCACACGTCAGAATACAGGTGATTTTGAGACGGATAATTATCTTCCCAGCACCGATGCTTACTACAATGTGCCTCATCTCCATCAGAATTAAATCTTCTAGGAATAAGGGTAGTGTAATCACCTGAGGAAGACATGTCGGATTACATCACCCTATAGTAGAGCCTGTTAACACTCAGTGAGCTCTCCACAGAACAGCTGAAGCCACTACACTCAGGATCATGCAAGAAAATAAATCAAATTGCTAGTAAAATGCTCACTAGGATGCAAGGACACACTGCTCTGCATGTCATTATCAGCGAAAGCACTAATGACAATATTGATTATAGACAATGAAAAAGACAGCAGACTAAGCTCTGCAGCAGCAGCAAGTTAAATAAAAAAAAGGAAAAGAAAAAAGAAGCAGAAAGCAGCAAGACAGGAAGGCAAGACAGAAAAATGAAGCCTGGATGAAGGATGGAGGAAAGGGAGGAGGGACTGTGCTTACCCCGGCGTGCCTGTTTTATCTTGGGGCTCAGCATGGTTACCGTTGCTATACTGCTCCTTCTCACAGAGACATGACCGCATCCCTCTGTTCACACACTATTCCTCACATACACGCTCTACCGGCTCCTCTCGCTGTTGCCTCGCCCTGTTACTCCTCATCCTCCTCGAGCATCTCTCTCCCTGGCTCACAGTCTTGCACTCTGTCTGATTTTACACTCACACACACATACACACACACACACACACACTTAACCTCACACTCTCCTCTGGATCCCCTCTTTCCTTTACGTCTGACTCCCCCTCTCTGTCCCACTGGCCCAGTACGCTGTTGTTCTCACATACCTAGAGCCCTGCCTACTCTCTCCCTCTCTTTCTCTTTGGTCTGTCTCTTTATCAGTCACTCTGCCTTCTGCTGCACACTCTCAGTATCAATTTCTCACCATCTATAAATACGTCTGGCTTGGTGTCCTCTGTCTTGTCATCCTTTTCTGTGTTTTTAGCTTTGCTATTGCTCCACAGTCTTCACAATCCCCACAGCTGGTTGTGGAGATTTGATTATGGGCTCATGTGAACCCTGATGTACAACCTCAGATCAATATATTTGATTCCACTGACATCAGTCTCACCACTAAGTGTTATGATGCAGTGAAAGTAGATGTGACACCGCGATGTCGACGTATAGCTGCAAATCTCGGAAGTTTTGCTGATATCTTTAAGTGGAATTAAATACATTCAACCCCTGTGACAAGCAGGCATTTAGAAATGTAACATTTCTTCAGCTGTTTTAAGACTTCAGAATAGACATATAAAAAAACTGCAATATATGTGAAAATGTCTGGATATCCTTCTAGTTCTAAATTCATCAACATCAACTTTGTTTCCTAAGGACATCTTCAGAACTTCACGATTTTTCTATTTCTTCAGACCTGAAGAAGCACCTACCGCTGACTCCCCTGAGGTCCGGAGTCAGCCGAGCACCTGGTGAGGATCTAAAAATGAAGCTTATTGATGCACAACAATCAGAAACAAGTTATAAAAAGGTTTCAATTTCCTCTGTCTGAAAATGTCATTAAAAATGTCACTTAGAGGAAGTCAAGACAAGAACTAGAAATCCATTAATAACCTTTAGAAAAAACTGTCTGCTTGGGAGGAGAGATGGTCCATCATCCACAGCCACAAGTCAGTGTATGAAGTTTGTAAGGCAACATGTTGATCTGACAGCTATTATCAGATAAAGTAAAATTAAGTCACAGTCACTCGGACTTTGGGGAAAAGTCCAATAGACAGTGGATCCACATAAAGTTGGAAAACACTGAAATCCACTTAGAAAGCTTTTCCCCTGTCAGGAGATTAAACTTGCTGGGAGGCAACATCCCCAACCACTGGACCGCCCTAACATTAACATTTTAAAAGAATGTCTTTTTAAATCTCTGTGTTTTTTTGTGTGTTTTTTTTTTAAGTATGTAAGCTTTGGCCATATAATCCATCGCAGACATTTGGCAGAACAGATTTTGGGTGGACATATGTTCAAATCAAACAAAACTGTATTGTAAACACTCATGTTAAGCATCCTTTCTCACTCAGGGTGAGATTTACAGTCAGACAGTAAATGCCAAAGTACCTCAATCACTCAGTAATTTGTGTGGTAAAAACCAAAAGTCTCGAGGGTGTGATGTTCTTGTTCCTGTTCAGCTTGTTCAAAGGTTGTAGTCTGTTAAAAAGCCTCCAACTCATGAAATCAAGAGGGTGGATGAGACCAATATGCAGTACAGAGACACTGTAAGAAGAAAGAGCTGACTGAAATTTCTGTAACAGTCCGTTATTTACAAATGACACCAAACGTTAGGACTTTATGAAAGAGAAGCATTTGTAATAACATAACTTTGGCCATAGAAACAGCTTAAACTCTCACAGGCAGTACAAGGATCACACAGATGGATACAGAAACACTGATGAAAAAGACAAAACAAAATTACTGCTTAACTTCATTTGAGAGCTCAGATGAAGTTAAGCTTAAAATAAATAATCAGCTTGTATTATATGGTGACATTCAACACAAAACAAGTTAAAAACTGAGCTTTACCTGCTAGTTCCTTTGCTTTGTCACTGATATATGGAGTCCTGTTAGGATTCATGGCATTGAACTTGTGTGCACCATAGGTATCCTTCTCCACCGGGGCCATCTCTAGAGCCATAACACAAGCAAGCAAGCACATTCAGGCTCTAAACAATGACAATACTGAAGTCTCAGTCCTCTGCTTAATAGCCAATCTCCAAGAAACAAATCAAATGACATTCACATGCTCACAGAAAAGGGACCACTATAGTTGCTATCAGTAACGCCTCTGACTTGTCTCTTAGGAATGCTGATGTGAACAGACGTTGATAGAGGGAAGGAAATAGAGACTGTCATGCGAGCATTACTTGCCATGTCGTCTTGGATGGATAGACCGGACGACTCTCTCTCTCTCTGGTGCCAGACTCTCCGTGCAGCAAAAAAAAAGTCAGACTGTCTGAGGCATCTGCAGTGATAGGTACTGCTTTATAGGGAAATAACACACAGCTGTGGGGTTCTCCCACTGTCCTTGTCCTCATTTTTAGTCTGTCTCTCACTCAGGAAGTGAGCTGGCCCGATGAAGAAGTGAAAACTGCTGACATGTGTACAAAAATAATATTAGTTTCTCCTTTAAATGGCATCACTGTACTGCTCATATCACTAACAAGACAGCCAAATAAAGCGCTGTAAAGGCTTTTCCAATATGTAAATCAAGGGGGTGATGCCAGGTCAGAAAATTGTGTGAAACATATTTTCTTACAGCATAAAAACATCGTCAGTATTAAAAAAATAAACCGGGATATCAAGTGGCAACCAGCTGGAGAGGAAATCAAGACGAGAATACAGAAGTTTAAAAAGCCTTTATGTGATCAACTTGATCACTCCATATGTACAAGCGGCAGTACAGCAGACACTGAAAAATGTCACACGACATGGCCACTCACACAGACCAGACACACCAGCCTCTGGGGTGTGTGGAATATCATCTATAATCTAGAAATACAGACCTGAGGGACACATAGGAAATGAGTGTGTGTAATTGAAGGCATGAAAAAAGCATATCCCATTAATGAGAGCAGAGGAAGTGTCATGGCACAAATGACTCGGAGCAGGTTAGAGAGGTAACGACATTAGGTTGGGAAGAAAGTCTTTTGGGTCGTCTGTTGTTAACCATTATCTCCAGCTAATCACTGGACTTGCTAATTTTATGAAAACACAGTAAACTTTGATCAGTTGTATGTTTTACAGTACACCGTAACAAAAGTTTATTTAGAGCAGCAATAAAGAATGACATTTAAAAATGATTACTGGGATACAAAAACAAGTATAAACACAGGCTTTCATGTAGACGCTCGCTGCTAAAACACAGTATCAGAAATATTGAGTACTTTACACAAACAATATAAAACAACGAGAAAATAAAAACACTGTTTCTTAAAGTATGAGTTTTCAGTGAGGTCTCTAAAAACTAGGCGAATGTCTACATTTGTGGTAGATACCCTGCAAGTCACTTTGTGAACTATTGTCCTGGCAAATCTACTCTATAACCTATTTAATATCAAAATATATTAGATATACTAAAATCAAGTACAAGATATGGCATTAAAGTTACTGAATCTAAAAAGGACATTATCACAAACCATCTTACACAGAGGAACTAAGAATGAGTATTTGTACTTGAGCAATACTGGAAATGTTTTCAAATAAGCTGCACAAAGGTCAGAGTGACAGTTTTAAATGTCTATGGCAGTTTTGTCCTCTCTGGCTTGTCTGCTGCCCACCCGTCTCCGACCCTCCATCAGAAATGACAGCACTATCGCCCAGCGCTGTGCTAGTGACCGCTGTCGTGCGGCGCTTTCGCATTGTTTAAAGTAGGTGGTTGTTCCAGTGGCGACAGCATCAAACTGCTCAGTCAGAAGCCACACCTCCCAGATGAGTGTCAGTCCATTCATGATCATCATGACAACAACCCAGAAATCCTCTCCTAACAATGCGAGCCACAATGAGAAGCTGCGGCTGCCTCCAGGCATCTTGCTGTACAGGTAACTTATACCTGTGGCAACAAAAAGAAGGTGGGCAGCCACCATGGAGAGGATGAAGACCAGGAACAGGCGGTGGTTACCTCGGCCAATGCACCGGTTGAGGAAAAGGCAGTGATGGTCGTAGTCTTTAATGCACATTTCACACAGCTTGCAGTGTTTGGTGTAGTCAGGCTGAAAGAGCTGTGATAAAGACAAGAGAAGGTCATCAAAATATTAGAAAGAAGTAATGCATTTAAAAAAAAATGTACAGGGCTTTAAACCTGCATTCTTTCTAATGACCCACATAAGGCCACTCAAAAAAATGTGTCTGCTAGGTAATATTCAACTAATTTACATTTTTCATCCCAGAAAAAAAAAAGTATATGTGTGACACAAGCTGTACAGAAGAAGGATGAGAAAGATGACAGATTCATTTAAAAGCAAGAACTTTGATTCAGCAAGTTAAATTTTATAATCTGGAAATTTAAATCTTGCATATAAAGTCCTATTTCATTTAACATTTTTTACTTAGATATTGGCTCTGTATCTCTATACATGATGTGTTACTGAGGGGCTCAATAGAGCTCAATAGAGCTGTGGTTACAGATTTGCCTAACAAGCAAAACATCCGCGGCTTGATCCCGGGAGGAGACACAAAGCCATTTATGATTCCATCAGGAGGAGCATCTGGCATAGAAATCAAACATGTGGAGCTACCTGCTGTGGTGATATTTGTTAATAAGGGAGCAGACGAAAATAGGCAACAAAACTGAAGTATACTAATACTACTACTAGTCAGTTTAGTCTTTCTAAACTAGATAGCTTCAGTACTGGGGTGAAGTTTACATCAATTTATGGTGTTGTAAGGAGACATCCAGAGCAGATGGTGATGATGCTGATTAAATTCACTTACTAAATTCTACCTTTTATACTAGCTTTAGGCTGTCTGCATCTGAAATCTATGTGCTAATGTATCTTGTTCAATTTTTTCTTTTTGCTAAATCCACAGGAAACAGTGAATACTTGAGTAGCAGTACATGTCACAGCCTGTAGACAAAGAAAAATATATCAGATCTCACAAATCAAGTCATTATGTGACTTATTACCAAGTGATTCTTTTCCTCTCGCTTCACTGCAACACCAGATCTTAGGGTTCCCCCACCTACCAAATCCCTGCATATATTACCTGGCAGCTCTGATATCTGTGGTCTTAACACACGTGCGTGAAGACCTTTTCTAATGTGAGGGGAGTTACAATTAGCAGAAAGGCTATGTATATATTTCTAGATCTAAAGGTGTGGTATATAAAACAAGTTACCAACATGCCCATATGAATGCCTCACCTCACAGTATGGACAGAACCTTTGTGGGCTCTGGTTCTTCTCCACCAGATCAGCGATACAAGAGAACCGAGGATCTGATTCTGCTCTGTCTAGTGTCCCAGGGTCTTGTGTCAGAACCTTACAGAATAACCCAAGGAGTAAGGAAAAGTGGACCATCGACACCTGGGTTAAACTACTGGTTGGCCACACACATTCACAACATTAAGGATAAAAATTTTAATAGCACATTTTACATACATTTAAACAGACTCGGTAGAATACCAAATAAACTAGTTGCAGTTTACATCAGTGTTTGCTGGAATTCATATAAAATTGTAAAATGTATATATATGAAAATGTGAAAAATGTAACAGTCAGTAACCAAAGATTAGTGTAACCAATTCAAAATGGTAAATATGGTTCAATTTTCATCTTTTCCCTTTCCTGAGTTACACCATTTTTTTGTTTTCGAGTGATTTATAATGTTGCAGTGAAGTTGAGTTTTGACTTCTTCTTCGCCACACCTGCCTCCATATCACCATATCCCTATCCTCTTTTCCTTCAACCCTCTGCATGTCCTTCTCCGCTACATCTGTGAATCTCTCCCATGGTCTTCCTCGCTGCCCATATTTAGCATCCTTCGCCCGGTGTATCCACTATCCCTCCATCTCAGCCTTGTATCTCTAACTTCGTCTCCAAACTGCTCATACTCTTTTCTAATCTTGTCCCTCCTGGTCACTTCTACCAAACTCTTAGCATCTTCATCTCCCCCACCTGTATTTTTGTCAGCGCCACCATCCACAAATAATACATCACAGCAGGTCTCACTACCATCTTGTAAACCTTCCCTATGACTCCATCTGTCACAAATAACCCTGTTCACATTGATTACACCCAATGCTTTGGATGGTTGACCCCCAGGTACTTAAACTTTCACTACCTCTACTCCTCGCATCTTCACTGTTACACCTGCCTCCCTCTCATTCACACATGTATTCTGTCTTGCTTCTAATGACTTCCATTCCTCTTCTCTCCAGAGCACATCCACAGCTCTTCAGACTCCAGACTCACAATCACAATATCGTCTGCAAACATCATCGTCCACGGAGACTGCTGCCTGACCTTATCTGTCAACCTGTTCATCACCAGTGCAAAGGAGAAGGGGCTCAAAGCTGATCCCTGATGTAATCCCACCTCCATCTTCAACCCATCTGTCACTCCTACCACACACCTCAACAATGCCTTGCTCACTATTGTCCTCACTCTCTCCAAGATTAGATTAAACAAAGGTCCCCTCTATCCTACACATCTACACATGTGACTATTTGAATATAAAATGTAGTCACTTCATCATACAGTGGCATTCTATTTTGTCATAAATAGTGTATGATTCTGATGTGTTCATCCACACATCCAGTTTAACAATCGTGCTGAACTCCTCCAAGACTCACAGCTCAGCTAACATAGGTGTGTGAAAAGCTGAATTATCAAGAAATATGTATGAGCAAAAAACCTAATATATGCAAGCTTTTTAAAAGGATATTAGGCATCATTTTTCCATAGAAGCAGAGCAGAGAATGGATAGAACCAGCAATGAGGGTTCCCAAGTAGATCGGGTTAGGTAACCTAGAAAGAAGACATATGCTATGTGATATAATAGCAGTAAAGGATGATTATTTACATGCACTACAATT